TAAGATCTAATGCTTAAGAAATTTTACACTTCACGATATAGTTAGAAAAAGTTGTGTATCATCTCAAAACTTTTAATTTAATAATTAAAAATTTTTAACTGAATATCAAATATCTGATTTTTAATCAAATATCTCTTCTTCCTTTTATTTATATTAAAATTTTACCGTCATAACGTAACCAACAAAAAAAAAAAAGTTACATATCACACATTGCATCTGATCATGTAAATTTTAATAAATGTTAGATGAACTATCATATTTTGATCAAAGTCATTACAAATTAAACATATTTGAACTTGATTTGGTACAAATTAAAAGTTTGATCTTAGATTGAGAATTTAGTATTATAAAATCCCTCCAATCTTTCATCTTATAAGATGAAGCTTATAAATTTAGCATTGATGACATTAACTTGCATTGCATACCATTGCTTCTAATCTTAATCCTTAATTACTATATATATATATATATGAGTAAACATCTATTTATATTAATGTAATTTTTATATTATTTAAATTTTTGGATCAAAATTAAATTAGTAATTTATTTAAATTTAATAATTTTAATAAAAAATTATATAGATATATATATATATATATTCCTATATTCCATTGAATGTCTACACAAGATGATCCTCTTCTTTCATACCTTTCTTTTTAGTACTTAATTTAGTACAAATTTGTTTATTGTTTGAAAGCAGAATTCAAAATTTATTTTTTTAATATGAAATAAATATTTGTAATAATTAAATCAAATATTTGATTACTTATTTGATGAGATTATTAAAAGATTTATTTCATAAAAATTGTCTTTCTCATACATGTAAAGTGAGATAATAATATTAATATGAGAGCATATTTCTTATAATTATTGCATTACATTAACTTATCATAATCTTAAACAGTTTAGGATCAATCAAAAATAATATAAGAAATCCACAATTATAAATTGTATTTTAATATAATTTTTAATCATAATTAAATAATTATAGAATTAAATAAAAAAATTAGCATGAAAATGTTCCTTATCAATATACGTTTACGAGTTCGAATATTTTTTGCCTAGTTGTTTTCCACATGGTCGTGCAGTGAGTAATGACTGATAACAGTGAGAAACAAAATTGAAAAAAATTAAAAATTAATTTGAAATTATAGTGTTTAGTTTAATTTAGATTAAATTTTTTTTATTTGGTTTGAATTAAAATTAGATATTAAATGTATATATTAAGTTTAGATTAAAATTTAAATTAAAATGTGAAAAATAAAAAAAATTTAAATTTAAAAATCGATAAACCAAATCAAACTAAACTAATAAATTATATTTGAATCAGATCAGTTTAAAAAAAAATTAATTCAGATTCAAATTTAATTTTAAAATTTTATAATATCATATATTATTTTAAAAAATTAAATTGAATCCATTTAATTTGAACTATCGTCACCCTTCCTATCCAAAAAAATAATGGGTCAAATGTTGTTGCCATTAGGACCACAAGACCAAATTGTTTCCCGTCCTCCGGCAAACCAAAAAAAAAAAGGCAACACCAACCAGCTTTAGTTGAGGCTTCATTTCTTGCCTCGAGGTCTGCAATGGGCGCAAGGCTGGCTTCAAATTTTACATACATTTTTGTGTTTTTATCAAACCAAAATGGCTTCAAGTGTGCATTCAATGCTAGCGCTCTGGCTTAAGGTACTCTAATCCTCCAATGATTTCTTGTGAAAACGAAAAGGAACAGCTGAATGCCAATGAAGAAGACTGGCACTCTAAATTTGTTTGGACTTTTAACACTTCGGCTCAATGGTCCTCAGTAAGGTCCAATTTTCCTGGTTAAAATTCTTTTATTGTGCCAAAATCCATTGACAGGAGGACAAATTAATACTACCGGTACTTATTTCAGCAAACAATTCTTTCCAATTAAATTATAAATTGCATGGATTTGATGGAACATTTATAATTATATATTGAGATGTGAACATTTTTTTTTCTATGTCGATGGTGAATTTTTACTGGTTCAAATGAAATGATCTTACCATTGCAATTGCAACGATTATCCCAATTGTATAGTTTGAATATATGCAGAAATTAAACAATCAAATCCCAACAATTTGAAACCAAAAAAAGGGTGGGGAAGCCATTAATGGTGGCATAACATAATATTTATGTAGGACATAAATTGCTTTGATTTGATTCCTCTATGGCTGATGTAATATAACTAAGAGTGGTGCTTCCGATTTCCCGGTTCAGACCCTAAATATTAAAAGTATCAACAAGCCACAGAAACCTGAAAATTAAGCTACCTGAAGACAGTTAGTAAAATTAAATGCTTAAAATAAATTCTTGATGAATTATATTAAAAGATGCAGAGAAAGCATAAATTTTGACTAGCATCCGTATCTTGTTTGCATGATACTCGTGCTAGGATATTTAGGTCCAAATCTACTCAAATCTACTGGGGTCGAGAGGGAGGAAAGGATGAGGGGGGAATTTTGAAATATATGAGAAAGGGGGTTTTATGTATTAAGATTTTTATTTTTTATTTTTTTAACTGATAAAATTATTTTAAAGAAATAGATTTTTTTATTAGTTATAAAAATTTTTTCGTCATAAAATTTATTGAAATAAAAAATAATTAGCAATGAAATTTCGTAGCTAATTCCATCATTATTCCAAGATTTTTGGTTTAAACAATTAATGACAAAACTATCAACGTAATATCTTATCATCAATAAATTTTTTTGTTTTTTCGACAAAATTCAATCACTAAAAATAAAATTTTAATTTGCTGAAATCCGTTGATAATTTATTGACAAACTATCGATATTAATGACTTTTAGCAACAAAATTTATCTATTGGTAATTTTCATCACTGAAAATCTGTTTTCATGTAATGTTAATACCTAATGAAGGTTAATGTGACTTTAATTCCAACCCAAAAATTAAATACGATGAATTCTTTTGTTATCACAGTAAGGTCACCGGATATTATATACATCAACTAATTCCTTTAAAATGCATTTTAAAAGTAAAATTTTGAATAGAATAAAATCATTTTGAAAAAAAAAAAAAAAACTCAAAGCAAATTTTGAAATACTTGATCATATTATAAAAAATTATTATTTTTATATAGATAAGAGCATATGAGTAAGGGGATGTCATGTCATGTTCTTAACTCATAATTGTCAAGCATTGAGGAAAATCCTACCTCATGTTTGGCAAACAATTAGGAAAATTAATAGTTGCTTTACCTCAATTCATTGCTAATCCTAAATGTTTGTACCTAACTTGATGGCATGCATTTAAAAAAAAATTGGGATTAAAAATTTGTCACCTCATTAATCCAAATCAAACCAATAAAAACAAGAGAAAAACTAATAATTAAGAAGGAGAATTTAATTTGCAAATGATCTATAATAATGCAAAAGGATATGATCTAAAGGACAATTCTCTTATAAATGAAATTAACTAACACCCTACCCTCATCTCATGTTGTACAATTGTAATTGTCTATTGCATGATTTGCTCAGTGCCAAATTGAATCCCACCCAGCAAACAGACTTAACTTGATTCACTGTATCATAAATGCAACAAATTTATGTACCAAATTATGTAATACAACAAATTTAAAAATCTGAAATTTAATTTTATTAATTTTATTTTTTAAATAGTGATATTTAATAAATTTAAAATTTAAATTTTAGCACTTACATCCCTTTCTTTTATTCTTAGATTGAGACTTATAATTAGGGATAATAATAAATTGAATCAGGATGGGTTTTTGTTCACTTTGATATCAAAATATTATTTAAAATTATAATCGATCAGATCCAAAATTAATTTAATATAGCATTCATAAAATATTTTAAATATAAATTACATTTTAATTATATATAAATATAATATTTTTATTAAGTAATATCTTAAATTAAAATATTAAATAATAATTTTATTAATATAATAATAAATATATATAAATATAAAATTAAATAAATAATAAATAATATTTTGTATAAATATATATCAAGTTGGGTTGGGACAATTTGACCTAAAACCTAACTTAATTTAATCTCAACTTTAAAAATTCTGACCAACTCGAAATCTAATTTTAATAAAAAAAAAATTGTATTCTATAAAACAAGGTTGGAATCCAATGAATTTGAGTAGATTTGTCATTTTAGTTACAATGTAAAAAAAAAAAAAAAGTTGAAAAATTTAGATGAAAAAAATTAATTAGATTATGATTTTATGTGCAATTAAAAACTAAAAACTGGGTACAATTTCATCTTTGGAACCTTTTTTTTCTATATATTGCCTACCAACATATGGTTTTGCTTACTAGGTAAGTACAATTTGACATGTATTTACTTAACAATAGAAAATTCATTAATCATCAATACCAACATATACAATCTAAAAAATTAACAATTGAAATTACTTTTTTTTCTGTCACAAATAGATATTAATTTATAAACTTTTCTTATCGCATTAATTATATATTTAATAAAAAAATTATTTCATTACCCTTTAATAAAATCTTTAAATTTTACAACAAAATAAAAAGATTATCTTGGTTTTATTTAAGATATACTAAACATAAAAAATTAATATAATAAAAGATATACATGACAATTTTTAATTGTATGTAAAATTTAAATGTGAATGAAACTATATAAGGATCAATTTATATGGAAAAACTAAGAATTTCCTTGTATTAATGATAAAAATAATTACATACTACTGTGTAGTGTAAAAATTTATTCCTAAAAAGGAAACAGCCAATGAAATACTGAAAAGTGGCACGCAAATCCTTAGTATTACTGATTCTGTCTCAGTGATTAAATTCAGCCGTTGATTTAATTACCAGATCAACCAGCGCGTGACTCCCAAATTCCCTCCAAGTTTTCTCACTTTCCAGTTTTATCCTGTCTTGTTACAAAAAATTACAACTTTAACATCTCTCAGTGAAAGGTACGGCCTTTTCCTCGACAGTGTCACCTTCTATATAGCTCAGCTTGGTTCCTTCTCCAGTAACTTTCCTCCCAAAAAACAAAGGAAAAAAAAAATGGAGAAACCCGTTGTCCGACAGTGGAGGCCGGAACCAGTTCCGGTGCCATTCAGGCCACCGGAGACGCCACTTGAACCAATGGAATTCTTGTCACGTTCATGGAGTGTTTCAGCTTTAGAGGTTTCAAGAGCTTTAGCTCCTCCCTCTTCACAAGCTGCTGCTTCTCATCAAATGTCTGGTTCTTCGAGTGGTAACGTTGTTATACAAGAAGACGTGGCGGGTGAGCTTGAAGATAGTGGCATAGTTTCAGGCAACCCTTTCTCTTTTGCTTCTTCTGAAACTTCCCAGATGGTCATGGAAAGAATCTTGTCACAGTCGGTAAGTGTAGCAGGGCAACTATTCATGTGAAGACAAAGATTCTTGTAATTTTTTTTAAGGTTTTGGTTTTTAGTTTTAACTTTTTTTCACTATTGTTTTGTTGTTTCTAAATGGGTTTTCTTTTTTTTTGTTTTCAACAGCTGGGTGCTTTTCGTTTTCTTGGTTTTGGATTGTTCTGTTTCCTTTAGAACAAAATATTTTGTTTTGCTTTGTTTTTTATAGGTACACTTTTTGGACTTGTGCAATAATTCAATCACTCAATGCGTTAAAAGTTCAATTTTCATTTTTTTCCCCTTAAATCTCTTGTTGACGGTTTTCCTTCTGTTGTCTCCGTTGTGTTTGCAGCAAGATCTATCTCCAAGAACTTCAGGGAGGCTATCTCATAGCAGTGGACCATTAACGGGAGCCCAAAGTTGTGGTTCCTTGACAGATAGTCCTCCAGTTTCACCTTCAGAAATTGATGATGTCAAGGTTTGTCTCAAATTTAAACTCATAAACTACTCTTAAAACATGAATACATTCAAATAATTGGGGAATTATTTGGTTTTTAACTTTAAGGAATCAAAATTTTGTAGGCAAGAGTTTGTTTTTGGACACTTTTAGGCAACAACAGAGCACAGATTGAGCTCCTGAGTCACTGACACTGAAACATAAATCTCAGGCTTTCTCTGTAACCAAAGCCCTATTTTAGTCTATTTTTCATATCCATATACGACACATAAATTTTGCATAAAATATGATTACATGATTATAATTCAAATAATCGAATTATCAGATCCACACCCAGCGACGGAGAGAAAAGAAACATTTTTCTTCACATGATTACATATCATGTGTTTTTCTTCACTTTCTTCCATGTAAAATATTAAAGAAAACAAATGATTCTTTTTTTTTTTACTTCGTTGGAAAGAAAGTAACTTCCTTCCACTGGAGTCATTCTGCTTTGTCTTGTACTAACTATTGTTTGGGATTCCAAAGTGGCACTGTCATTTCATTTAATGGTCCAATGGTTCGATGGACCCAAAAAAATCTTGCCTTTCAATGGCGGTGGTTATTGGTTATAATCTCAGAGCTTTTTTTTTTTATTAATTTTTTAATAATTTTCATTAACGGATAGAGTCCCAATTTAGACAATGCGTTCAAGGGAATGACTGGCTCCCGTTTACCTGTGCAGCAATTTTGCCGCGCCACTAATTCCCTCAACTCGCAGTTCCGTACAACATCGGCAGTTGCGGCGGCTACCCCCGCTGCAACTTCCGTGACAGGTGGTGGAAAGACGGTGGGACGATGGCTGAAGGATAGGAAGGAGAAGAAAAAGGAAGAAACACGGGCACATAATGCTCAGCTACATGCTGCCATATCTGTTGCCGGGGTTGCGGCAGCCATGGCAGCCATCGCAGCGGCGACTGCTGCCTCCTCGAGTGCTGGGAAGGATGAGCTGAGGGCAAAGACGGATATGGCAGTTGCATCAGCTGCCACCCTTGTTGCTGCTCAATGTGTGGAGGCGGCAGAAGCCATGGGGGCTGAGCGCGAGCATTTGACCTCTGTGATCAGCTCCGCTGTCAATGTCCGGTCTGCCGGAGATATCATGACCTTAACTGCTGGGGCGGCAACAGGTACATGAACATAATCCAACATCAGAGAAAACGAAATTTGATTCTGTTACAATGCATTTGTATTTCATTTTTTAAGTGAAATGGTTGAATTAATTGGGCAAATTTTTTTGGGGTGTCATGTCAGCCTTAAGAGGGGCGGCCACGCTGAAGGCAAGGGCGCTGAAGGAGGTATGGAACATAGCAGCTGTTATTCCTGTGGATAAAGGTGGCGGCAATGGGAGCAATGGTAGCTCTAATGGCAGCTTTAGTGGGGAGCTTGTTCCTGAAGAGAATTTCTTGGGAATATGCAGCAGGGAATTGCTTGCTAGAGGCTGTGAGCTTCTCAAGCGCACACGAAAAGGTAAATTTCATTGATTCATATTTCCCTGTTGTTTCTTCAGATTGTTCTTTGATATAATTGGGATAATGAGAAAAGTTATGTTTGTTTTTTCTGGTGGAGTTTGGTTCAAAATTGGCAGATGCTCTCCATTATATTGAGGGTTTGAACACATTATTTGAAGCCATGCTATTTGATTTTCCTTACTCATTTTTTGCTTTTGTTATCCATTTTAGATTCAAATGGTGACAGCTTTAATTAACTCATTGTTCTGATTGTTTTAGGTGATCTTCATTCGAAGGTTGTCTCTGTTTATATAAACAGAATGAACCAGGTATCACGAAAGATAAAATTGCAAAATTATTGGGGAATAAATTGTGCTTTAGGTAAAGTGATTAGTGCATGTGAACCTCAAATGGTAAAAAGTCCTAAACAAAAGTAAAAAAAAAAAAAAAAACTTGAAAGCCTGATGAGATAAATTGATCCGTTTTGTTTTGTTTTCTTTTTTGTTACATTCTTTTCAACTCTTTTGAAACTTCTTTTTGGTCAGGTTATGTTGAAGATGAAGAGCAGACATGTTGCTGGGACCATCACAAAAAAGAAAAAGAGTAAGTGATTACTCTTGTCTTTCTCTAATAATGTGAAAATTCAGAAATGGATGTGGGTCTTTGTTCCATTTGGGGATTTGAGAAAGCTAGAGTCACTAAAGTAAAAGATCAAAAGGGATTGTCTTTAATCTTTAATCTTCATCACTTTTTGAAAATTTTTTTTCTGCAGATGTTGTGTTGGAGGTGATTAAAGATATGCCTGCATGGCCCGGCCGCCACTTGCTTGAGGGTGGAGAGAACCGGAGATACTTTGGGTTGAAGACAGTGATGCGCGGCCTCGTAGAGTTCGAGTGCAAGAACCAGAGAGAGTATGATATTTGGACTCAAGGTGTGTCGAGACTCCTCTCCGTTGCTGGGGAGAAGAGCAACAGAAATAGAATTTGAAGCTTTAACATGAGGGGAGAAACCTGACAAAAAAGGGGTATACAAATTGGGGGAAATAGGATCAAATGCCTCTATGAACAATACATATAAAATCTTTGGGTGTTTCTACTGTAAAAAAGTTGAAATTAAGAAAAAGTTATCCAATGGGTTTGTGGGGCTTTTGTTCTTTTATTTTTGAACTGGAAAGACTAAAGTGTTTTGAAAGAAAGTACCCAAACCATCATGTGATACAAGTTCCTTGTTCTTTCACTGTTCAGGAAAGAAAATATTGTGGTATCTTGGACTGGGGATGGTCAAAAGTGAAGAAAGGAATCCCATTTTGATAAAGGAATGAAATGGGATATGATAAAGATTCTATGTGCTTTATAATATATTCATGTGAGCTAAGCTTTTTGTTTTGTTTTATTTTATTTTATTTTTTTAAATTTCCCTTTGGCTCTTAGTCTTAGGTGTTATATATATGGTGGGACTATGATTGTCTTGATTTGTAATATTTCATTTTAATATATGATAATTTGGCTTGGACTAAGTGGATCAAAGAGTTGGTGAAAATATTTTATTATTTGTGAAAGAATGTTACTTGTCAGAAGAATGTTGGATATGTTAACAATCTCTTAGAAACTGTATGAAAAGTTGCTTTCATATCTGTTTGGTAATTTTTATAGTATTTATTTTATATTAAACACCAATCAACTTTAAAATTTCTCATGTTATGATTTATATAAATATATTAATATGAATTTTTTTTTTTTTTATTAAATTTATAAATAATTTATATGTTTAGGAATTTGGGTTTCTCCTCCAATGAATTACTTGTGACACTGTCTTCTCTAGTTTGGGGGACCACTAGAAATCTGCCTTCTGTTTTTCTACCTCCTCTGTTTTTGCAGATTCATTCAAGTTTGATTCAGGTTTCAGATGTAGGCTATGTGCAAGTGTCATCGATTCTCGATATCCTACCTAAAATTTTTCTCAACGAGGGTGAGGGATTTGGTAGGTCTCGTTTAGTATTGATGTTAAAAGTAATTTTTGCATTTAAAAATTACATTTAATCTTAACACAATATTAAATAATAATTTTTTTTTATTTTTCAATTCAAAACAAAAAGTTTTTTAAGATGTAATTTTATAGTCAAAAAATATAATTACGATAAAAATTATTTTATTATTTAATATATATTTTTGGATGTTTGTTTATTCACAAAATTTTTTATAATAATATAAAATTTTTAAAATTTTAAAGTATATAATGCACCTTTTTTAATTTAAACTTTTTTAAATTGTAACAGCAATGCTAAATTAACTCTTACTATCAAATCCAATTTGTGAATTGGATTGGCTGATATCCACTTTCCCTTGGAGGTTATGGTAGATACGGTCAGGTTTCAGCTTTGGGTTCCATTCATAGCTGAAACCTAGAGGGATTTGTGGGAGGAGCTGCCCAAGTTATAAATAGGCTTTAGGAGTTAAGGATCAATGAGTACAATAGGTCTGGCCATCCAGCTCATTTACTCAACCACAAAAGTTTAGCCAATTTACTCATTGTAGGCTTTCCTTCAATTTAATTTCTGATTTCAGTTATATTTATTAGCGCACATAAACGTGATTATAGAAAGAAAAAGGTAAATTGACGGTTTGTGTATTATGTTATGTAATATATTAATAATTTATGTATTTTTATCATATTTTATATAAAAAAACATATCATAATTGATACAGAAACGTTAAATGTATTTTTTTTAATTTTATTAAATCTATATATGATTTTGTTAAAATTTTAAATTGTATTATTTTTATATATTTTTTATATTATTTTTATATCATATCATCATATTGTATTTTAATTTGTCGAATTGAAAAAAGTCAATAATGTTTATATAAAAAGTGATTGAGGTGAGTTTAAAATAATTATTTTTAAGAAATGATATTCAATATATTTAAAATTTAAATCTTAACACTTATAATTATTTTATGTCATTGACTCTAATGCATAAGAAAAAAGAAAAGCGATGAAGGCCAAACATATTCATCTAACTATATCATTTGATAAGATTGTCAGTGTCACAGCAATGCATCCAAAAATCATCAACCATAGCTTTCCAAGAGGCAAAAAGATCTATCAGTTGAATTAGAATTTAGGAAATATATAAGAGAAAAACAATTAGTAAAAATTAATTGCTACAGGCTTACGTGAAAATTGAAAATTTTTTTCCTAATATAAAGCTATATATATAATTTTCTTCAATGATTTACAAGAGTTGCATAAAGAAAAATTTTACAAGAGTTGTTTAATTAATTGCTTCATTATGAATGTAGACATCCGGTTTTGTCCGAATTATCAAAAGTGGACCTTGATTTCAATTAAATGGATAGTGAGCCTAAAATTGAAGTCCAAGTTAAAGCCTATGTAAGGGCCTGTATTTTTCAAATTATCTAGCTTTTAGTTTAATTTTGTTTGTCTGATTTATTAAAATAAAAAATGAAATGAAAATTAAATTAATTAAAAAAAAAGAGAAGACCCTGTGACTATGGGTGCCATGCACGGCACTAGCACCCACGAGCCTTTCTACCTACAACCTTTTTCCCTAGAAGCCTCACATGGCTTGTCTTTCCCCTTTCAACCATGGTAAGTAAGGATAAGCCTTTAAGAAACCTAGCTAAGGCCAAAAATGAAGAAAAAAAATAGAGATCTAAATCACGGTAGCCGCCTTGGCAGCAAAGAGGTCACCAATAAACCCTTTAAACCCCAAAAAAATCTTAAATATCCTAGGATTTTGTCCCTTTTCCCAACTCTATAAATTTAGAGTTTAAGCACCCTAAAGAGGAAATGAGAGAAAACATGGTGAATCTTTGCCTTAAAAAAAAAAAACCTCTGTAAAAAAAATCACTCCCTTCAATCTATCTAAAAAACACAAAAATACCCAAAAACCACATCCACATCCCTTGGAGTGGGGAGCTAGCACAAAAAAAAAAAAGCCAAAAAACCATAAAACCAAAAACCAAACCCAAAAAAAAAAATAAAAATGAAGAGGCTTTCGACCAAAGTCTTAAAGGGCAAGTCTGGGTTTTGGAAAGGGTTTTTTTTTTCGAAAGATGGGACTTAGAATGAGAATCAAGAGGCTTAAAAGTGCATTTTAGTGGTTTTTGGAGTTTCCCAACCACCGAAATGGCAGCAACACAACAATAGCGAAGCATGGCTCATTGGCGATAAGGCTTTGGGTTTTTAAGAGATTCTATTGAAGTTTTTTATTATAGGAAAAGAAGGAAATGATTAAAAAAAAGGTTGTTTTTTGTAACTAAAAAAAAAAACAAATAAAACAACATCGTTTTACCCAAGAATGACCCACGTCTCTGATCGACTTGACCCGAAGATCTATGTAACTCGACTTGAAGACTTATGCCTTACTTAGCTTTGCTAAACGGTCTATCGAATCGATATTGAATTGAATTTAAATAGGTTTAAACTTTCTAAAATCGCTCCAAACCAGCCTAAACCGTAGAAAATTACTTCAGACTACTTGTGAATTGCCTTAGGCCATTGATTGGATCATTGACCAGTTCAGTTCAAAATTTTTTTTTGTATTTTTTTGTGTTTTTATTCTATTTTATTTTTTTATTTAACAATTTATCTCCTTATTATTATGTCTTTTAATAATTTTATGTTTTGAAATACTTTTTTTATATAAGAATAGAGTTTAAAATTTTGATAATTTTAAAGTTTTGTCATAAAATAAAATTAAAAATATAAAATTTTCTTTAAAAATAAAAACAAAAAAATGAAAGAGTAATAAATAAAATAATAATAAAAATATTTTCCTTCATTTTCCATAAAATAAAAAGTTTTAACTAGAATTAATAATAAAAAATGAGAAAAAATAATTTTTTTTGAATAATAAAATTCTAAAGAAATTTGCATAATAATTCTTATAAAATCTCTAAGTGAGAAGATTTCTTTAAATAATACCAACGAATTGGAGTGTTTTTAATAAAATAAAAACTTTTAATAAATAAAATTTTTAATACAATAAAAATTTTCTTTTTTTTTATTAAATGAAGTAAAAATTAACTAAAAAAATTATTAAATAAAATAAAAATAAATTAAAGTAAGAAAATAATAAAGAATGATGGAAAAGAAATTTTTTGGAAAAGAATGATGAAATTTTAAGGTATTCCAAGTAGTAATGCCTTAAAAATCCTTAAGTAAGAAGATTTTTTTAAATATTACCAACGTATTGGAGTATTTATAAAAATTTTTCAATATGATAAAACAATTTTTTTCCTTCCAAAAAAATAACAATAATAAATGAAATAATAAAAAACAACAACCAATGAATTAAAAAAAATAAAATAAAATGTATGCACCAGTATATTGTCATTCCCATTATATGCATGATATTATTTTTATGAAAAATAAATACGAGCATCCGAGGATGAGATTCTATGAAAATTCGAGTAGTGATTCTTAAGAAATTTCTAAGTGAGAAAAATTCTTTCAATGTTACCAACATCTAAAACATTTTAAGAGTTTTTTCGATAACAAGGTTCTAATTTATTTTTCTTAAGTAAACTAGATTAATCTTAAAAAATAAAAGGGTGAAGTAACAAAAGTGGGAATAAAAATAGTCAAGGGAATTATTTTTAAATATAAAAATTAAGACATTTTTGTCAAAATTAAAAGATAATGTATAATTAATTGGTATTATTTTTTAATGGGCGACATAGAGGTGCTAACCCTTCCTTACGAGTAACCGACTTTCGAATCCAAATTATTTTTGTAGACCAAAAAATATATATTTTTAATAAATTTTAATTAATTTTAAGATTTTATTAAAAATGTAAAGTCTTAATAGGTGATCAATTGCACCTAACTAAAAAAAATTATTGGCTACTTCATTTATTTTTAAATTAGTCTAACGGTTCCAAAACTATTACGATAGTTTGGCAACTCTGCTGAGATGTGTTTTTTTTAGAATCAGACCAAAATTTAATTATGAGTTATACTTAATTTTGATTTAATGATCTTAATCGGTATTTAACATTAACTCCATTGATTTTGAATTTGTCTAAAAAAATTAAAAAAATAAAAACAAAAAAATTAAAAATAAATTTAAAAAAAACAATAGTGATAATAATAATAATAAAAGAAAATCATTTTGCGTCTTTTTTTAATTATTTTCTTTTGTGTATATGATTTTTAATAAATTATGGGGCATTTGTGTTAATTTTCGTTTCACACACGATAATACTTTACATCTCATATATAAGCTCTATACCTGGGCTCTATCTTTTATAGAAGGAAGTAAAGTACCTTTACTTTCATGAGGTGATAACCTCCGTAATGGTAAGCGAAATATTTTCATTTAAATTGAATCATTTTCGTTCTTAGCCTGTAATGAGTGAAAATTGAGATGCTTTACTAATTCAGCATGGACGATAGTGAGAAACAATTTGGGAACCTTTAAATGAGTGTCGATCCAAACCAATCATATAATATGCCATAAGAAACCAACCTTAGATAGA